ATGTACAATTTTATCCTTCATTTATTATTGTGTTGACTTTATTTACATGAAGTATAATATATATGAAATAGAGATAAAATTATAAAGTTGTTAAATTTTTAAATGAGAGTTAATGAAGTTTAAGTTTTTCTTGATCTGTGTAAAATATGTTGAAAGTGATTTATAAATAGGATAAAGGAGCATGCAACCTACCTAACTATGGGCGATAGTTTTCAATCATACCACTGTCATATAAATTAACTTTTTATTTTGTAATGAAAATGAGCTTGCCACATTAATTCTACATACGCATGTAATAACTTGGTCAACCATATGACAATTCCTTCATTTGAATCAGGCAACCCTTTTCATTTACAGCGAAATATGGGACATTAATTATTACACGCCATATAGGCGGGAAATTAACCATGTTTTTGTCCGCAGTCCTTTTCTGTTAATTTTGGATTGTGCTTGGGATTGAATGTGTGGGGGCCTCTAATGCTTAAATGCTCCATATCCAGTTTTTACTATAAACATATAAAATGAATTAATAAAGTTAGATAAAGTTAGTTATTTCTTATGAAATATTAAATTTACCTTCAACAAATGTCATTTAGAAGAATTTGATCAATTAGTTTAGGAAGTTTTATAGTTAATTAAGAATATTAACTATGGGGGAAAAAATTCCACCATGTTCTGGCTGGCGTTATGTTATTTTCTACAACAGATTGTTTGGATTTTTCATATCATGCTGAATTGCTTCAGTTTGTATTGTTTGCAATTAAGAAATAGCCAACTCTTGCTACAAAAGCATTCTGCATATTAATTACTTTATTTGTATTCATCCACCGTCAAAAAATTTAGAGTATATAACGCGCGGATGAATTAATAGTGTATGTGTGTAAATATTTAGTGTAGCAATTAAGGTTTGATATTCAAAGACGACAAAAATGATGTCGTCAATAATACTCCCTCTAGTACTATATATAAGCTTTAAATTTGGAGAGGGTCGTAATCTATTTTATAAGTTTTAATTTGGATTTGTCTTAACATTTAGAAGGTGTTTGGATTACTCCAAAAGTGCTTTTTAAAAGCACTTTTTTTTTTGCAAATTAAAATCAAATTTCTCCCACATATTTATTTCGTATATCGTAAAGGTACTTTTAAAATTATGATTTTGTTTCTACCCAAATCCCTTTAATGTGAAGAGGTTGGCTTGAGGAGATAATGGCATTGATTTTGAAGAAGACACAATGGAGGAGGAGGGAGAGAGAAGCCGAGGGAAGCCGACGATGTTTAGAGGTATTTGGATAAAATTCAACTTATGATTTTAAAAGTGATTTTGCAGCATATAAAATAAAAAGAGAAATTTTATTTTGACTTGTATGAAAATGCTTTTAAGGGGAAAACCAAATGCCGCCTTAATCAGTTGCCACATGAGCACTGTTCAACTTAGAATAACGCCATATTCACACATCACAAACAGAAGGACTGTAATCAATAACTAGCGAACAATAGGGATGGAAAAAAGAGAAAAAATATTTACAAGGCCTGATTTAAAATTGAGTGAAGCAATGTAAGGATCGTCAGATTAACTTTCCCTAAGGTATAACTAAATCCCACAATTTTCCTTTTTCCCGCCAAGTTAGACGAAGCTTTAGGTGCAGCATAAAGCCCAACACTACCTGCTTTGGGCAAGGGCAAATTTTCAGGAGATCGATAACCAAAGCCCAAAGGCCCAACCATATTTAATATGGGGGGAAGTCAACGTAAAATCACTGTTTTAGAATTAAAAAAAATGGCGTTTTGATATATACTACCTTCGATTTTAATATAAGAACTAGTTGACTAATTTGAGTAGATTAAAAAAATTAGTTAAATTAGTTATTTGTAATAAATAATATTGTCTTTTCTAAAATATCGTTACTAATCAAATATATTGGTTAGAACTATTATTATTATAAGCACTACTTTGAAAAAAATAGATAAATATGAAAAAAAAATTTATCAAAATCTTATAATTAAGAATAAAATAAAATTCAAATAAACTCTTATATTAAGTAGCGGAGGTAGTAAAAACTTGGTATCCAAGACAAATTTGTATGACTAACCGTCACAAGGGCAGTGATCATTAACATAAGGATAAGATCGTTGGCGCAACCAATATATATATATATATATATATATATAAGGATAAGAATCATAAGATCAGTAAATCAGGGGGGATATATAAAAATTGGAAAAATGAAATTTTAAGATTAGCACAGCAAATTAACTACATTTAATGACCATTAATTGTTAAAATCACAGATGAATACCGAAGTTTGAAAAATAAATGGACCAGGATGCCGTTAATGTGGTCGGCAACCTAGATCAATTGTAAATCTTGAAACTTGAAAATTAGTTGCAAATTAATCATGATTTATGAAATTTTTGTAAATTTCAAAAAATCAATTGCAAATCCTAAATTTTTTTAACTAAATGTTGCCGATCATGGAAGGGCATCTGATCCATTCATTAAAAAAAAAATTGGTCCTTAAATATTACTAGTCCGGTCCTTAATATAGGACCCAATTCTTAAATTAGTTTTGGTCCTAAATATAAGACCCTTTCTCATATTTAATCATTTTCTCTAAATTACCCTTATAGATACTCCCTCAACCATAATCAGTAAAGAGAGAAGGGTATTAAGAAAGATGATTATGGTATTTTAGGAAAAATGTGTCACTTTTTTTTATAATTAACCAACTTACCTAATTTCCTTAATCTAATCAAATTTGTTTAAATGGGTCTTATATTAAGGACCGGAGAGTATTTTCCTATTTAAATTTGGGTTGTCTGCCAGCTAATTTCTGTGTGTGTGTGTTTTTTTCAAAATAAAAAATAAAAAAGTGACAAGTTTGTAGGCATGGACTACTGGAGGAAGCTTGAGAAGGGCATATATATATACTCTTCCGATCCTTAATATAAGACCCATTTAACTAATTTGATTAGATTAAGGAAGTTAGTAAGTTAGTTAATTATGAGAAATTGATGCGTTTTTTCTAAAACACCATAATCATCTTTCTTAATACCCCATCTCCCTCTTTTACTTGATATATTGAGGGAGTATCCATAAGGGTAATTTAGAAAAAATTGATAAATATAAGAAATGGGTCTTATATTTAGGACCAAATCAACTCAATAATTGGGTCCTTATTAAGGACTGGAGGAGTATATATATATATATATATATAGGTTGCATAAGAATCCTCAAAAAAGAAGTTAAGGCAAAATTGGGAATCAAAGAAAGATGCCTGATTTGGGTGGCAAAATATCACAGCCACATAATACGTTTTTCCCTCTTTTCCTTTTGCTTTCTTTTAGTCACAACATGCGTGCAACTTAGCTCTTTCCCCCTCCTTCGTGACAACGTAGGCTGTTTGGTACACCTACGTAATCAGCTCATTTATTATGATTTGTTGGAATAAGTTATAAGCAGACTTTTCATTAATTTACAAAATATAAATAAATATATGAAAAAAAATTTTATTTTTGATTTACGTGAAACATGTATTTATAAAAACATAACTGAACTCGCAATTTTTTCCTTACAGGAAGCTTTCATACCATTCAAGTCATCTTTTTTTTAATCTTGACTGTAAATATTTTAATTTATCTGCGTTTGAGTTTCTGAGTCGTTATTCCGAGGAAAATTTCTCTCTCTCGCATCTTTTAACAGATTATTAACAAAATTCACCTCTTCCAGGTTTAGTGACACGAACTCTCTTTTTCTGCAGTCACGTACTCCTGCATTCTAGGGGGAGAGACGAAAAACAAATTTAACGGAGCATGGGATTTTTTCCTCTGAGTCTCTCATATTTACACTTAATTCCCTGTTTTTTTAATGCATTATATTCATTTATGGAGGCAAATGTTTCAGATTTATCAAAGAAAATTGATGGTCATTAAAATTCGCGCCTCTCAATATCACTTGCCGTCACTGAGTAATGCCGTATTCTAGCAGATAAGTATCTGCAAATAGAAACAGGGACCTTCTTGCTTTTACTCACTAACCTTTTTATTTGGTCTTTCACGTTCCTGAGTTAGTGCATGTACTTCTTTCAGCAACATTAGGTACATGTAGCTTTCAAGACATGGCCCCTCTACATATATCCGCACGTATATAAATCTGACATTTTCCATTCAACAACATGCAAGTGTTCAAGTCTTCAAGATAGTCCTATTTACAAATCTCTCTTTTCCTTTTCTTTCTCTTCCATATCTCTGGTTATTTTCCTCACCTTTTATGGCCTCAGAAACTGAGAATAGTGATGTGGGGTTACTGGAATTGGAGGAGCTGGAGGTCATGCAAATTGATGAAGCTCTTCTAAGAGAAGTGCTAGGAGAACAAGGGGAGGTTGGAGCCGAAGGAGAATGTCTGGTAGAATCTGTAGAGGGTGGAAACAAAATGATGGAAGAAAAGGAAGAAGTTCATAAGCAGGAAGACAGTTACTCAGAGCAGCATGAAGGCAGCAAGGGGGTGAATAGTATGATGGAGATCGTGGAGCCAGCTTCACAAAATGAATTGATGCTGAATTGGTATCCAGATGATACGATTGGGATGATGACAGATTTTGGGTTTGCCAATGGAGAACTTTGCCCTCAAATCTGTGAAGGCCTTGTGTCCTATGAGGCATATTATGGCTGCTTTTGGGAAGATCTGTAGTCTAACCTACTAGTACTAGTTAACTAGCTAGTAGGTTTGAAACTAATAGTATAATTGGCTTGTGTGAATGAATTGGGCTTATATCTTTAATTCAGCATATCAAAAGCGTTGCTATGGGCTTCCAGGACTTTGTGTGTTTTTAGTTTGGACCAAGTCAGAAAGTAGAACATGTTAAGGAAAGAGAGTTATGATACCAAGACTCAATTTCGGAGCTTTTTACTATCACTCATGATCTCTTTATTTTTTGGCAGCCTCTTTTGTCTTAAATTTTTGACTTAAAGTCATCTGAACTAATGCTAGCAGAAAAGTATGAACCAATCAACCAACAGTTCATCATACTCTTCAAGAAGACAAGTTATCCAGACAAATTGGAGTTATAACTAGTTTATATTCATAAAGATGGGTGCAAAAATTATGCCTCCTATATCAACTAATATACCACAAATTCCCCAAGTAGTATACATAAGCATATGAAAATTTCTAGGAGAATAGACGCAAGATCAAAACAAGAAGAATCAAACACTCCTTAAATTCATGCTATAAGTGGACGGAGTATTCATCTTACATTTGACTCAGCAAGCTTGGGTCCGCAACCTATCTGCTCCAGAAACTTACTAAGCCTTGAGTGCTTTGCAGCCAGTTGCTCAGCTAATTTCTTCTCCTTGGTTTCTGCATCTCTTCTCAGTTCATCTAGCTGCTCCCGGTATTCAGCTTCCATTCTATCCAAAGCAGCCATCTGTTCTTCCCGAAGAGATTTAATCTTTGCTTCAAACTCTTCCATCTTCTGCCGCATACGACATGCCTTCTCTGACTCCAACTGCAGCTCCACCCGCCTTAACCTCCATGCTGTTTCCTTCCTATGCATTGACCATGCCCGGTGCCCTTCTTCCAATTCTTTGCAGCATCCAACTAACTCAGATACAAGCATGTTATCACCAAAACATGGAATAGTTCCATGAGGTTTTACATTCCCAATAACAGCAGAAGTATTCTCTGGCATTTTCTCAGGTTGTAGCCATCGAACTGGAGGTGGAGCAGCCACAGGTGAGGGAGAGAGACTTAGCGTTACAGAAGGGGAAGGTGGCCTAATAGTTAAAGTGCTGTTAGAGTTTGAAAGCCAAGAAGGAAGCATAGCTGATGGAGGAGCAGTTGCATCAGTAAGAATTAAGGCCCCGCTTGAGGCAGCCATGAGGTAGGATGGGGAAGGGCGTTCTTTCACAAGCTTTTCTGCAAAAGTCTCCAGTATATGATCGTATTTGGTGTCGTCAATTGGGTCAACCGTTTTGTTGATCTCTTTTTTTTCTCTCTGCTGCTTCTCTTTGAATACTTCCCACCACTTACCTAATCTCTTAGCAGTGCGACCAGGGACTTCTGCAGCAATTTTCTTCCATTTGTTGCCGTAAATCTGTTGAAGGCGGATGACGAGAGATTTCTCTTCTTCAGTAAGAGACCCCTTCTTGATGCCGGGCTTGAGGTAGTTCTTCCACCTTTCTAAGCAGGATTTGGCATCCCTGTTAAGGGGTTTGTTCATGCGTTGGGACACAAGATTCCATTCCCTAGGACCATACTGTTTGACATAAGCACGTAATAAAGCATCCTCTTCAGCTGTCCAACGTTGCCTCTCCTTCATTTCCAAGCGCAAACTACTTTTCTTATCCCACTGCCCATTTCTTCAAACTCGAACTCCTCATCATGAATCTACAAAATCTGTGATAATTTCAAGGCATCGATTTTGATGGAACTGCAAGAAGAAACCAAACTATATTATGAGCAAATTTTTTTCTCCCTGATATGTCCTAAATTAGCACAAGCAAAAGGCTGTTCCTTCATAAGCCGATACATTGACATGTAAACAAATTTCAAAGTCTAAGGAATTGAAAAGACTACTTTCCTAGAATAATACCCAAATGACAAACTCAATGTAAATGGAATCAAGCTGTTAAATACGAACCTTAGACCAAATTACCGAATCTACAAAGATACAAAGGTAACATCGCAATACCCAATTTTAAGAGTTAACCTGTATATTACAGAATACAGCCCTAAATATGCCAGAAAATCATTGTTTGAACGTTCTACGAGCCCTGTGCATTATTAATCACATAAAACACCTCGCAGATACAAATCATGAATGTCAAATAGGCAGGAGCAGAAAACACATACAATCACAAATGCTCAAGGAATTTCAGCAGCCTCAAGTGTCTGTTACTATGAGAAATCCAGTACATGATAGGGCAACCCGCTTCAAGACCAAATTCGTTTTAAAAAAAAAAAAGTTTAGGATCCTGTGTACTTAAGGGGAAAAAAATTGACATTCTCATTTTAGATACAGGACACACATTGTGAGGAACTCAGACAGGACCTTAACATGATGTCTGTCTATCTCAGAAACTAACAGCCACTTTCTACCAGCAAACTGCATGGAACCTCCTTAAATTTTAGGTCTTCTGCAAATGACTACCTTAACATTTAAAAATTTGATATTGAATCTCCTAAACTTGCAAAGTTGAGCAGAAACTCCCTTAAGAAGCAAAAAATTTTGAAGTGCAATAAAAACGAGTTTTCTGACTTCACCGGAAACAAATAATGTTACTTTTTCCCTTCCTTCATAGGTAACGATTTTACACAACTACAACAACACTGGATAAAATGATGTATCAAACACAAAAATTGTTCTCTAAAATTCGAGTACCACAAGAAATCCACAATGACTATGATAAATAAGAAAATTATTCTTTTTTTTTTTTTGCCTGAATAACAAAATTATTCTGAAGGACCAAAATCAAAAGTTATTAACGTCACAATTAAATTTACGATCTGAATGATAAATTCTCGTACTGTGACTTGTAAATTCACATTCTTTACTGGTATTTAGCACTTAGAAAACGTAAATGTACAAGCATGGTACTAGAAATTTAATAGTAAAAATTAGGATAATTCCGTCATTACAATCTATTTATCCTTTTTCTTTTTTTTGGCAGGGAAGGACCTAGACGAGTAATCTCAGAAATTCATAATTTTTCATGATAAATTGTACCCAGAGATGCTCAATAAGAGATAAGCATGTACAGTAAGCCTTTCATGAATAGTGATAAATTTCAGTAACATATAATGGCAAACGCAAGAATCAGCATTACCAACTCAAATCAGACGACAGAAGGATCAAGATTTCTAGAAAATCATATCTAGAGTAAGCAAAGTATTCCCAAATCAATGACACGCAAATGCAAAGGATAAAGCTGTTGAAAATCATAAGCAGTATCCAGATCAGGAAATACATGAGACATTTTAAAGTATCACCAATACAGAAGCATTAGAAAAGACAGTGAACTTAAAAAAATAGACCTTAGAGAGAGAAACGGGGTAAGATTAAGTTAAACAAAATACGAAAGGGAGACAGGGAACTGACTGTGAGCGAAAAAACATGGCACGCAAATTAAAACGCAAAGTAAAAGAATAAAAAGAGGCGAAGCAGATGACGAACGGTATTTGCTTACGTCGCTGGGGGAATTTGCTAGCGCAAGCTAACTCGCATTGCACATAGTTTCCCTCTCTTCTTCCTCCTCTTCCCGTTCTTTCTTCTTCTTCCTCCTCCACCTCCTCCACACTCACAATTGCTATCGGAATCACTATGCGATCAAACAATGCATTTCCCAGTAAAAATGAGGAAATTCGAGCCCCGAAATGGAAGGCTTTATTGTGGAAATTGCCAAGAGCTTCAGAGATAAGAGTGGCAGAGAGTTGCAGAGTAAGAGGAGAGAGAAAGAGTGAATGCCAAAAACGCGACGTCCTTCCCTGCGCGCGAGCATGTTACATTTTTTTCCCGCAAAACAATATAATTATTAAAAGTTTTTTGAAATGAAAACGGTGCTTATAAATCATGAATCCAAATAAACCCTAAAATATTTCACAAAAGCCATTTTTAAGCTGGAGGTTAGAACCTTGTAATGATTAAATTGTTTAAATGAATGCAGAATAATTTTTTTATTTTTTTCTCATCCTTTTTCTTGCCAATTTTATCATTCTCATTCGTCTCCACGAGTTATCTATGAATTAATTAAGGATTTATCCTCTCTTGGTTTAAAAAAAAAAAAGATTTATCCTCCAACTGACCTGCCAAAAAAAAACTGAGCTCTCTCAATTAATCATTAATTTGAAAAAATTAATTATGAAATCATGATTTTAATTTTATTGAGATAATTGGCAAAAAAAAGTCTTGAGATTAAAAAACAATTTATTTCTTTTTTAAAAATAAATAAATTTGTAATTCCCATTCAAAATTGTTAGATTATAATATGATGGTTTATGTATTTTTCAGTTAAATTTGACAGCCACAGAAAAATTATAAATATTTTTTATTGATTTGAATATGTGAATTTTTTTTTTCAAAGTTCATATCTACATGTTATGCTTAAATCATATATGACTTTAATTAATTTTCACCTTACAAATATATTTACAAATTATTTTTTGATAAATTCATCACCTTAAGAAATGGATGGGAAATTTCTTAAAAAGAAACTCAAAAAACCTAAATTCTTATTTGGATTACTAAATTTGTCAAACATTTAATCAGGTCACATGACCCAGAAAAAAATGTTTAAATTTTATGAAATGAATTAAAAGCTAAGAGAAAATTCTAAATTAACATGTTTTATTTCATAATTAACACATTTTAATTCTAAATTAACAATTTTTTTATCTATAATACAAGTGTAATAAATCTTTGAATAAAACTTATCACAATACAACATTAAAAATTAACATATTTAATTTCATATTTCACTTCTAAATTCACAATTTCTTGTCTCTATAACATACTTATAATATAAACCTTTGAATAAAACTTGATTATAATACAACATTGAAAATTACCATTTCATTTCAAAATTGAACATATTTTAATTCTAAATTAACAAATTATTTTCACCACACTTATAATAAGTATTTGAATAAAACTTTATTACAATACAATCTTGATAATTAACATGTTTTATTTCATAATTAACACATTTTAGTTTTAAATTAGCAAAAGGATGAAGATTTAATACAAAAATTAACTGTTACCTCCTTAATTGATTTTTTAACTTTGTAATGATGGACATCAACTTACCTCATTCAGAGCTCTTATACAATACGGAATGATAACAAAAAAATTCCTATTTCTTTATATTTCTAATAAAGAAGCATTAGAATCATTTCATTAAACTTTAAAATCACTTTTTAGATCATGTGATATAATTAGAGTTTTGAAAAATTCAGTAATCTAAATAAGAATGTTGGTTATTTCAGTATCTTTTTAAGAGATTTTTTTGAATATGAATTATAATTTTGAAATTCTATTTATGTTTTTAATAAATAAAATTAAGTCAACGGAGAAGTTTGGAATTTGAACATGATATTGACATGTTTATGGACAAGTTAATTTCATTGTACCAAATTAAAAAAATAGAAGACACTTTCCTCCATTCTTTCCACCAAAGTTTTTCATTTGGAAATTCAAAAGGTATGTATTTTGTTTTGGTCATTTGCAAGGTGATTATTGAATGGGTGTTTGGATTGTTTAATAATTATTTTTTAAAAATATTTTTTTTATAATCCGAAACAAATTTTTTTATATATTTATTTTTTATATTATAAGAACATTTTTAAAAGGGAAAATTCTAAAAAAGGTCTTTGGAATATAGGAAATTCTATATTGAGTTCTGGAATTTCGAAAATGACAGAAAGGGTCAGTGACCTAATCTGTCATTTGTGAAATTAAGACGAATTGACAATTTTGCCCCTGGCTAAGCAAAAGTGAGCAGTTATTCTCTAAACAAATCTAGGTAACGCTTATACCGTTCTAATGATTACAAGATTAGTTGTAGTTAATAATAAGGTACCTAACTATAAAAAAGTGAGTAGTTATTCTCTACACGAATCTAGGTAATACTTACATTGTTTTAGTGATTACAAAATTAGTTGTAGTTAATAACAAGACACCTGACTATGAAAAAGTGAGTAGTTATTCGCTACACGAATCTAGTTAACGCCTAAACCCTTATAGTGATTCCTTAAATCATTGTAGTGAATGAATATAAATGAGGGCAATATTATCAATTCCTCTTGATTTTACAAATGACAAATTGGGTCACTGACCCTTTCTGTCATTTTCGAAATTTCATGATCAAATTTAGAATTTTCTATATTCTAAGGACCTTTTTTGAAATTTTCCCTTTTTAAAATTATAGGTTTGTTTTTATCCAAATTTATTTCATATCACGAGGCTGTCTTATTCAGCAGACCATAGCGAAATCGGAACCGTAAAATTGATTTTTGCTCTGCTCAAATGATTTCAACTATCCTATAAACAAGTGACACCTGGCGACAGTAATAAAATGTACCGTACAGCTTCATACGATCAGATTCCCTCACCTATGTGAATTGTACAATACTCTTTCCTCTATTCATTCATGTAAGAATAGAAAAAGGTTATTACATGTCGTGCCTCCATTTTTTTTAACATATATTAATATATTTTTCTAATTTTCTGTTATTAAAAAATGTTGCATCTATTTCACAGAACTTAGAAGTAATAAACTATTCTATTTTGATTTTCTTTATTTTTTTAAAAAATTGAATTTCCTCATTTTGATTTACTTATAAATATTTTTTTTAGGCACATGTATCTTCTTATTAGAAATAATCATATTCAAGACATTATCGAGCACTAAATATAAATACCCTTATTAGATAGAATTTGAATCTTAATTTATCACGTTGTAAGAAGCTAATTTATTCTGCTAAACCTAATATTTATTAATTTCATGATGACACGTTAATTCTCATTCCTCAGCCCCAGCCCATAAACTATAGGCATAATGGTTTTTTGGGCATATTAAGGGAGAGCCCAACCCAAGAGTGGCCGGACAGAGATTTCATCCGAGAGATCCGAATGGTTGAGATTTAAAGTCAGTCTAATGGATGTTTCAGATATGGCCTTTTTGAACACACAGCTTCTCGCATTTTGAATTTCATCAACTAAATATGTTAATATTTTTTCGGTTCTTAATATAGGACTCAATTATTAAGTAATTATTATTGAACCTGCAAAATATATGTTTTAAATATGTGAATAATCTGTTGGCAAAAAAAAAAGTGAAATTATCTTAAATCCAATGTTTAGCAACCTCATCTCAACTCTGGCAACAACAAAAAAAAAGGAAAAAAACCTCATTTCTCAACTTAATTGTTTTTATATTGAAAAATAAACAACAAAACTCTAAATACCACGCCATAAAATTCAAACTTCCAATTTTATACAATAAGTTTGATTCCTTTAATTTAATCTTGTCATCATTAATCTCTTTCTTGAATTTTGATTTGAAAAAAACAGGGGAAAGGCATTGAATGTTTTTTGGGATAAAAATTGGGATTTGAGAAAGAAAAGCTTGTGGTGCCAACAATGAACAACTACATTGAACATTTTATTAATTATTTGTATCTTCCAAACTTGGAACATGAAACATTGCTTTTTCTATCTCTTTTGATGCACAAACACATGAACATAGAATAAAGAAGCTTTTTTTTTATATAATAAAGAAGCTTTTTTTCCCTCCTCACTTTTCAAATCACTTTAATTGAATGTTTCAGGTTTTAAATACTCCTCCGATTCTTAATATAAGACTCATTTAACCAATTAGATTAGATTAAGGAAGTTAGATAAGTTAGTTAATTATAAAAAATGTGACACGCTTTTCCTAAAATACCATAATCATCTTTCTTAATACCTTATCTTCCTCTTCTACTTAATTATAGTTGAGAGAGTATTCATAGGGATAATTTAGAGAAAATTGATAAATATGATAAATGGGTCTTATATTTAAGACTAAAACCAACTTAACTATTAGATCTTATATTAAAGACCGGAGGAGTGTATATATAAGAGTTATTTAAGCGATTTGGGTAGATAAAAAAATTAGATAGCATACATACGTGGCTTGATTTCTCTAAAATACAAATAATCAGTGGTGGATTAATTATTTTGTCAGGCTCCTTCTGAATATGATTGTCAATAAGAAGAAAAGAGAACAATATAATATAAAACATGCACATTTTTTAACTAACAAAGTTCAAACAAGATATTTAGAAACATATATTTTTTACTCATCAAAAAAAAAAAAAGAAACATATATTTTTTTCTAGGGTAAAGGGTCAAATTTACGCTTGTAACATCGAAAAGGAGCACCAAACGTCATAATAAAATCTTAAATACAAAAATACACATGAACATTGCAAAATGGGACAAAAATGCCATTTCCGTTAATTTTTTCAAACGTCCGTTACCTTTTTCCTTGCGGGTCTCATTTTTCAAATGCATTCTCTCCTTTATTACTCCTCCCTTCCTCTCTCTTTCTTCTCTCTCTCTCCCTCTCACCGAGTCGACAACTCGACATTACATGCTCAGCCAATATATGAAACCAGAAGCTCATCTTTGGAATGAAGTCGCCGAGAATAAATTAACCAATCTTAGTCATTAACAGTAAAATGATCATAGCCATCTATTTTAATTAGGGACTTTAGGGATTTTTGCTTCCCTCTGATCCAGACACACAACCATGGGCCTCAGGTGATTGACATTTGTATTTGTAATGTCAACATAACTGGCTTTCTTCATTAAGTTGTATACAAACATAGCATGAATTTTCTCATTACTTTCTTATCACATCTTCTTTCTCTAAGGCTCT